ATCAAAAAGCTATTTTGGTTTTTTGATTGGTTGGGGACTTTTTTGAATTTTTTTTTTTAAACTTGAATAAGAACATCTAAAATTTTCAGAAGAGCAAGAGTCCTCTCTTGTTGTAAAGTAATTGTGGTGGTGTGGCTTTTATTTTGGAGTTGGATTTTGGTGAGGGGGTTCTTTGTTTATTGGATTGGTTTTTAACAATGTAATTGTTTTCTTAACTTCTGCTTGTCTTTACAGCAAAAAATTAAGGGTAAACATCAATGTGCCAATGAAGACTGAACAGAAGCAGGAGCAAGAAACTACACACAAAAATATAGAGGAAGATAGGAAACTACTGATTCAGGTGAGTTGTATTGCAGAATGTTGCCATGATCTCAGAATTACAGCTTTGTAATCCTTTAATGAAGCTTGCTGTGGGGTTTTCTTAATTTTTATTAGAAGATAATATGCCATTGCAGTGCACTGTGTTAAGAGTTAAAAATGTGTTTAAAATGCTCTTAAAGGTGATTGGAGTCTAACAGAAAGTGGAGGAAGGCATTTCTGCAGATAGAACGTGTTCTTCACACTTGTTCTAACCTGATGTTGATAGTGTTTGGGTTCCATGGATGCACGTGCTCACCAGACCTTGTCCTGGGTGAAAACTAATAATGCCCAAACAGTATGAAATCCACTGTGTTTTTGTATCATTTCATTTGGAATCCACTTGAGAAGCAAAGAGGCAGGGGAAGGAAATACACATGTGCTACTAAGAGAGCATTACAGTAAAGTTAAATATACAAAGGCAGCTTTTTGTTACACAAGTAACTACTTAACTGCTCTTGGTACCAGTTGGTGCTATTGATAAGACCAACCATGATTAGAGTTCTTAAAATTCATGTGTCAAAGCCACTCCTAATGCCTGTGTGCTGTGTAGAACCTGGGTTCTTACAGTCTGCCTGAGTAGCTGACATCTGTGGGCACACTTCTCCCTGTCTGGTACTCAGGTTTGTTGTGATGGTGCTTCTGCACAAGCAGATGTGATCTGCTGGGGAAGTTGTATGTTAAGTGGCGTTATCCAGGACAAGTAGTTTGCTCCTAAGCACACCTTTCCCACTTTGCCTGTGCAGGCTGCTATTGTGAGAATCATGAAAATGAGGAAGGTTCTAAAACACCAGCAACTGCTTGGAGAAGTGCTAACACAGCTGTCCTCAAGGTTCAAGCCACGAGTTCCTGTAATTAAGGTATGTGAGAACCATATCTCTGTACCTGTGTTCCAGGAGGTGAGGAGTAAATATATATAGAGAGAGACAAAGCACACGCTTCTGAATTAAAAAGGAAAGCTAAGGAGATGGGATGGGTAAAGACAGGCTTTTTTGAGTTTTAAGTAAGTAGGAAATGTTTTAACCAGAAATACTGCATTTCTCTTAGGGTAATATGCGTGTTTCACATTGTTGGCAGAGGTAAAATAGCAGCTTGATTACATCTTCTCACATCAGTGCCAGCTTTACTGTAGCCTTTGCTCCAGGCTTACTGTTTGTTCCTGCTCTCCCAGTTGTGAGAGTGCAGCCAGCCTTCAGGTTGGCTTGATGAAACAGCTTCCTGGATCTCTTTCAGGATAAAAATGTCGGGATGGGAGGCACTGTTTTTAATTATTTACTAATAATTGTATAGATTATATTAATTACTAATTAACATGCGTTCATTTCTTCATCAGTTTGTTAAAGTGGGCTCACCAGTGTTTTTTACCTACGCAGCCAAGGGGGTGGGCAGGGCAAAGTGGAGAGCAGCTGCATAAACTGGCACCGGTGCCGAGACGCTCCCGGTCAGGCAGTGCCACAGGCAGCTCCTCAGTGCAGCTGCTGCGTGTGGTGCCCTCACAGTGAGCACTCTGCACCTTGGTTTAATTCTACATTTGCTGTCTTACTGTGAAGTTGCTCAGCATACTGATGATGGGCTGATCTCCCAGTCACTCCCCTGCAATGGCATCAAGTAGGTATAATTCAGTTAAATGGATTAGCAGAGTCCTCTCCTTGGATGTGGTCGGAAACAGGAGAGTGAATTGCCGTGGTTTGTGCCTTTTGCCGACTCCCATCCTCAGCCTGGCAGGGAACTCCCTCGGGGGCCAAAATCCCTCCAAGTTTGTAGCAACCACAGAGAGGGCTTTTCTGCCAGTGTCCCACCACTGACCTCTGTTCCTCCCGCAGAAATGCATCGACATTCTCATTGAGAAGGAGTACTTGGAACGTGTAGATGGTGAGAAGGACACCTACAGTTACTTGGCTTAACACTTTTATTAGCAATTACTTGACTGTGTGACACTCGGCAAATAGGTATGTGATGGAAAGGATGAAAGCGACGGAACTTCATAGCAGCCACCCTGCTGCCATTTGGACCTCCCTTTTTAATAACTGAGACCAGGACTCCCATCAGCCAGTCTCAGATTTACATCAGAACTGCTCAGGATTGATACATTTCAAGTATGTAAATATGGACACCAATGCCATTTAACCTAACTTAAGAACAGAAAGGAATCAAACCCTTCTCCTTTAAGGGTTGCATGCTACTGCATTTAAATCAATACATTGGCTATATGATAAACAGCTGCCATCACAGGCAGTACTTATACATGTTGGCAGCACTTGGAGAGCGAGTCTGAATGGACCCATGTGTAATCTGCTATGAAAAACCATTTGTATAGTGTGTTTCATTTTTTAATGTGTGATAAATAATAAAAAAAAAAATTAAAAGATTTCTGTACAAGTTGCATTTGGTTTTATTGTTTTAAGTTTCATGACTTATCTTTCTAAATGTAAATAAAAGGTATAATGGTTATGAAAGCTATTAGAAATTCGTTTTGCTTTTCCTCCCTGTTTTCTGGTGATTTAGGCACATTTTGTTCTCTGAAGAAATTGCCATCTATCATCATCTGTGCATGTTATTTCTTTTTTAAGAGGAAAGGTCTGCACTTTGAAAATAAAAGGAGGTTGTGATGATTTCACAAGACCTGCAGAATAGAAAATACTTAGGATAGACGTGGCAATCCTTGGTCATCTGAAATTGGAGCTGTTTTTAATATTTCTCAGTGTTCTATAAAATGCATCACACTTGCTTAAGTGCTGCCTGGAATAAATGAGGTTTAGGCTGCCTGTTTCTTTGGCTAGAACAGAAAACTGAGTGTGTTTCTAAAGATTAATTCCCATTAAATGCAACCTGTGATGGGAATTAAAATACTTTTGAGTGTTACTACACATACATTGCTTGACCAGGCTTCGTTCCATTCTACTCACAACGTTTTGTGAAATGAGTATTGGCTTTCCACATGCTACAAGCAAAATGCTGCCATCCTCACAAGTCTCATTTTTGGTAATTTGTGTTTTCTAATCATGATGGTGAAGAGAACTTTACTTCTGCGGCCAAACCCTTTTTTCCTTTTAGAATTTGTGATTTGACAAGAAGATATAAAGGAGCCAGGTTTGGTGTTGCTGTTTTTCTGTTGAGGGAAACTAATGGTTACAGCTGAACTCTGACCTAAAAAAATGTTTGGGTTTAAAAAAAAACTAATGGAGCCATATTAGATGTGATCCAAAGTGACTTGGAAAAGCCAGGGGAACGTTCATCTGCACTTGATATTTTGTAGGCTTGCAATTCATGTTCTGAATTAATGTTAATTGTACTAAAGACTGCCAGCATGGGGACTACAAGCATCTTGCTGTTCAGTTTTAAAATTGGTTTTGGAAATTTAGAAGAGTGGAGCTTTCAGGGATGGCTTTCTTTTTTGAGTAGTAGTAACAGTAGTAGTAGTATATGCTGTGTTGCTTTTGTAAACAATTTTTGCAGAAAGTTCAGGGCTAGTAGATTTTTGTTTTTCTGTCATCATACCACTCTTAAATCCTGCTACAAACAGCCTGAATGTTGTTCTCAGTTGGAAGGCCAGAAATTACCTGCTCCAAGCTGCCTCTTAAAGCCAAGGCTTAACCCAGGGCTGGTTAAAGCAGTACTCTGTATACTGTCCCTGCAGCGTGAGACCAAGAGCCATGTTCTACCCAAGCATGGAGAAAATAAGTTTTTAATGTTTGGACTTTTTTTTTTTTTTTCTCATGAATTCTCAGTTCTTAGGGCAATGCAGAGCAGGAGAGCCTGCTGTAGTGGCAGTGTGTGCTGAACACGAGCCCTGGGTGCAAGAAGGTAGCACAGTCATCATGGGCAGGATTTCTTGAAATCAGTTTTGCAATGTGCCCCTGTGCCTGCCCTCCCCCTCCTCCAGCTGTTTTGACTAGAGCACTGTGTTCTATCCAGCAATAGGCTGCAGAGTTCACACTCCATGGGCAAATAAGAAATAAGCGTGTGGTAGCCCTGTATGAGACCCAAACAGACTAAATAATTTTGGATGAAAACATACATTAAAAAGATTAAGAGATGCAGAAGAAAAAGGTGTATGTAATTACTGTTGCATTCATTATTCAGTTGATGTTTCAGAGATGCCGCTGCTCTTGTACCACAGCTTTGTCTTGAAAGTAGCATTTGTCGCAGAACTCACAGCTATTCTGGTTCTTGTCTGGGGAGGGGGGGAGACCCTTCTTCCCTTCCATTAAATTCCTCTACTGGTAATGGAGAGACCCCTTGTCCAATGCCACTCAGCAAAAGTGGAGAAAGACTAAAAAGAATGAAGTGCAGCTGTTCTGTGACAAAAGGTTACTGGTAGGAGCTAAGAGGATGGAGGATGTTGGGATGTAAAGGTGAATTGTAGGAGTTTCTCAGCTGCAGCCATTACTCTATAGAGAACATGAAGGTAGCTGCCATGCCAGGGGAGCACAAACACTGCAAGATCTGACTGTGTGAGGTGCTGCAGCACCACCCTTAACCTGACTGATGTCTCCTACAATGTCTGAATCTTCACTTGAACCTTATATGTGACACAGAGTAACAGTATCAAGAGGGGACAAGTGTGGAGCTGCCTTTGCTGGCAAGCTACAAGTTAAATTCACACTGCTTCCTCAACTGGCTGACACAAAATTCCAACTCAGTTCCAGTAAAAATGAAGAAGTTCAAGTATCCTTTATTCAAGGTTGAAAAATGTACCACACCACATTATTGCAAAAGTTCATAGGTACAAAACACTTTGCAGCTGGTGAGAAGGCAATAAAAAGTTGTTTGTTTTTTTTAAATTTGTTACTATAAATTACTGTTACAGTACTTTGCAAATACATAATTTCAAATTGCATCATTTTTATTTTTCTAAAATTGCCCACAGTACTAGAAATTCCTGAAGATAAGGCAGCTGTTTGTTTAAAAGAAGAGGTAGCTGGTGTCAAGGGATTTCCATTTCTCTTTCAATGCCCACATACTTAAGGGCATCAGCTTGGCTATATCTGAAATTTTAAAAAAAAAAAAAAAGGCAAATAAAAACCAGGACCACAGAACATTTCAGCTTCATTGTTCTGACATGACAGAAGGCACCACAGACTGGAATACTCAGATTTCCCATAGTTTCCTCACCAGCTGGGGCCTTTCCTCCTCGTGTGAATTTGTAGGTGCACAACAATGCTGACCACTCGAGAAACTACTTTTAGAGGAGTTTGATTAAGAGGAAACAAAATTCCAATAAAATTCCACACTTTTTCACCTTGAATCTCACAAAGCTGAAGCTCATTTTAGCTAGTGGAAAGCAACTGCATTTCTGAAGGTTGCTTTGCACAGTATTGGCACTGGACAGCTTAGGTTTCTTCAAGGGGGATGATTTTAGAAGAAAGTATGAACACACTCTTAGCAAGCACTTTCTATGGTAACATCTTCTTTCTGAGTGATGGGAGAGTCACTCAGTCACTGTACTAGTACGAGGGAGCCCTACCCGTTAAAGTCTGTTGTGCAGGTCTGTCCCCCTTTGTCGCTAAAGTTTGCTCTATACAAGCAGCTGTTTCAAGTTTGCTCAGTTCAGTCTTACTCTGATATCTGGCTTAAAAAAACAATACAGGGTGGCAGTTCTGCTTCTCAGCTGCTGAGACCTGCGGTTGCAAGGACCAGGCAGGTGGAGAAATTAACTGTGAGCTGAGCAGAGATACTGAAAGCTACTCCAGTCTATGACACAAAGAAATGACAAAATCCATCTACCCACCTGTAGTCAAAGAACAGTTCTTCACCAGTCTGAATGGCTCTTTTAGCAAATATTCCTATTCTGTGATCACCATTAACCATCATAACTGTTTGAAAGAAATTTAAGCTTATGTTAGTACAAATACTGATAAAGTGTGCATGCTACATAAGTATCTCACAACATTTCATACGTTGCTGAAAAGCAAGTAAATTTAAAACTTACCTTTTGCATAGCAGTTGGGATTTACTGAATGGTTTGCAAATCTAATTTTGTTGCCCTTGCGTGTTGCATCAACCACAAAATCTAGGGGGGCGGAAAAAACAACAAAACCCACAAATGATGGAGAGTCACCTACAAACAAGTTTTTGTGTTTATTGCCTAGTGTGCTTGCATTTTAACAGCTGGAGAAGATAACTGCACAGCTTCCTACATGGAAGAACTGGCCCATCATCCCACAATAGATGTACCATTCAGCAAGACAAAATATTCCTGCTGCTCTAGACTGTGCTTTCCCTTTACTTCTTGCCACAGAGGCACTACCTAAGCTTCTCATTTGAAGCTTCTATACCTTTATTCCACAAAGACAAGCTCCATAAATACGCTAAGCAAATATTGACATGAAGCAGCGGATTTTTCCTCCTTTCATCTATTTTCTGGTATTTTATGTTTGACACTGCAGTCTGTATTTTACTAGTGGCAGTAGCCACATAGCACATATCTGTGCGTGGCTTTCCTTTCCCCTCAATATAGTTACCATCATCACTTATAAGTACATAATAAAATTATTTCAGGCAATACCTGGCAAGCCTTTTAAATTATTTAGTTTATTTAATGTCTGCACATAATTTTGCTCCATGAAATTCAACTTCTACTCATCTTGTGTAGTTACTTGTGTAATAGGCTCCATCACTACATCTAGTTGACTAGCATTTAGGAAAAAAAAATAAAACACTAGCTATCCAAACTGATAGGGAAAGATGCAGAAAAAATATCTCAGTGTTTGTTACCTGCTGTCTGCAAAAGAACAGGACTGAACAAAATGGTGAGCATACATACTTTATTTATGCTGCAAGGGTTGCAAACTAATGCATACATACCATTATTCAAGTTAAACAGAAAGCTGCACATGTATTTGTCGTACACTTTTCCTCTTCTGTCTGCCTCATCCTGAGAAATAATCTGAAAGAAATTAGCACTTTTATGAAAGAGATGAACTCTTCCCTTCTGTAACCATAGCAGCTTAAGGTCAAAAACCCTCAGACATTCTGAGAGACAGGTGGAGGGTTTTTATTCTCTGGGATTGAAAGTATTCCCAAACATAAAATGTTGGTTTTGGTAAGCATTCTGCACTTACAAAACATTCACCATTTGCTCTCAGCATAAATAAATCCTTTCAGAGCAGAAGAAAAGCAAGAATTGCTTCTCATCTCACAATCAAGACTGCATACCTGATTCAGGGTTCTATTGCTACAGAATATAACTTAGTGAGAGCACCTACTGACTTTTAGTACTGTACTAAATGATTTGGCACAAAATTCCAAGCATGTCTGAACTGAAATTACGTCTAAGATAAAAATTACATTTAAGCATCTCATTCTCACAAGAACCTACTTCAGATTTTTTGTGACATTTCAACTGTTTAGCTCCTGGGTTTTGAGCCTCTGACACCAGTGTCTGTCCACTTAGCCAGTCACATCATCCTGTCTAAACATGATACCAGGTTACAGACAATCTGTTGCTCCCTGTCAACAGAGAACTTCACCAACTAAGCTCATATATAATGAGCATTCTCCATCCTTACCTCACCACAGTATTCAGAGATGAATTCATTCTTCTGTACAGGATCTTTAATAAAAATTCCCCAGCCTGCCACATCTGAAGGTGCCAATAGTAAGTGCTGTGGGGCAGAAAAAACAAAAATTTAGACATGCCTGTCTTAGTTTGAGTTCAGGGGTTTTTTCGAGTTTTGTTTTGTATCACTTTATGAAATGTTTATGTTGGGACTCCAGGAGAGTAGACAAACACAGATTCTTCTAGTTATCAAACGCACACTAAAATTACACCTGGTGGATTAGAAGATGTATGTAAAAGAAAAACAACCTCGAGTATTTGAAAACCATTAAAAATTTTAGATTAACCTAGAAATGAGGATGTTACATAAAAACACATTTACTAAAGACTTCAACCTAGAAAGGTCTGCAGACAGAAGCCTACTACTCATTAGCTCAGTACTCAGCTGAACTAGTTTGTGAGTTGGTGTTCCAGAGTAGAGATAAACTTTGGTTTATTGATTGATTGATTTACCAGAGCTGAATGGGCTTTTAAGGTATCTTCAGTAGACCATATTCAAGTTCGTGCATTAGAATCAACAACTGGATAGAGAAACAGCTGTTCTAAGTCTGAGACAAACTTCCTTACGCTGATCTAGGGAAAGACTGCTGAGGTATCTCTTTAAAACAGCAGCCTATTTGCAAAGTACAAGTAAAGCCTGAATGGGGGAAAGGAGATACACAATTGCAGTGCTACACAGAAAACACTAATTGGTACATGACAGAATGTAGACAGAGTTTAACAGTAGCACATAAGCAAGCTAACAAGTGACAGCTACCACCCTTGTCATTTGGTTTGGGGTTTTTGTTTTGTTTTCATGTTTGACAGCACTGAGGCTGTCAAAGAAATTCCATTCGCTGGCTGGAAAATATAGAACCGCCTCAGAACCCAGGTAATAGGCATGTAGTTGTGTAACTATGGTCATACTTTTTTGGATCCTCTCTGAATGCTGCAGTTCTTGCAAGAGACATTTTTGCTGTCCCAGTGGTCAGCTGCTCCACATGTGAGACAGAGGTCAGGATCACACTCACGCACAGCCAGGTAACACGGGCACTGCTTGGTGTTGCACTGCGCTTTACAACGGCATCCAGGAAACCGGTTTTGGCCTACAATGGAAGAGATGGAAAAGAGCAGGTGTGAGAAAAGTACAGTGTAAAACTAAGACCATGCAGATTATGGCATATCAGAATATTAGTATATTAATAGTAACACAGCCCCTGATATCTGTATAGAACATTCAGAAGTGCTGTAAATTCTTTCCTTTCCTGATTTTAGTCTTCCTCAATTTTAAGTCTGAAGACTCTTTCGAACTTCATGCTAACTATGAGGGCCAAATTAAACTGAACACATGCTCACACAGTTTGATACAATTTGCTGTTCCTGCAAGACTGTCTGCAGTACCGACTGACTGCTGGTACCAAGCTAGAGGGTGGGACAGGGAAAGAAGTTTATAGATTACTTTTAAATGTTTTACTTACATTCTGAGCTGCACTGACAAAACTTCTCACAGAAGTTTTGAGCAATTACACATGGGCATGAGCTATCACAAGGCTGACGTGGGTGATCACATGGCTGATAGTTGTAAACATGATTCGATGACCCATCTGAATAAAAATAGCAACATTTTGTAAAGCTGTAAGTTGCAAACAAACAATACACAATTCCCCTCACTCTTCAAGGTAGAAATTCCCTTCCAGTCATTTAAGAAAGTCCCAAACATGAATAAAAAACCCAAACCTACAAATGAGTGGGGTTAAAAACCCGAGAGACACCTAACCAGAACTGTAACATTAGTGGGGTGTTCTACACCATTAGCTCCTGCTTTCTAGTGCACTTTATTCTACCCATTAATCATCTGCTTTGATATTCAGAGCTGAAAGCTCTTCACTGTGGAAAACTGAAAAACGAAATTACAATGGTATAATTTCCTGCATGAACATGTTCTAGAACAGCACAGATATTATTCAGCAAAGTAAATTTGATCAAATACTCGAAGTAATTTTTAATGTGGAACAACAATCAACTTTCAAGCAGGTTAACACTGGCAACATAATACCTGGTTATTATACCACTGTGCTTTCCCAAGTCAATTTTCCAGTACAGACAATGCTGAAGTCTTCTAGATGAGAAAGGAAATATCAAGGACAAGTCTAGAGCAGCTAGGAAAATTTGGTGCCATATAAATTATATTTGCTGTTAATACTCCTGAGCTTGTGTTGGGTTTGCATGAATTTGGAAAAGTGCTCGAGTTAGCAATCAGCAACAAAAAGGGAGAGAGGCAAACTGATTAATTATCTATGTTGCTAGAAGTCCCAACTATTCTCAACAAATTTTCAGAGAACTATTTCTAAAATGAGCTGGTTTTTTACAAAAAACCCACAAAAGCACTTTTTACCACAGCTCCAACTGTTTATACCGTTTTTATCTGTACTTCAATGAGGCCATATTGAAAAGATTGTAAACTCAGCCTCCTTCCTTTTTAATTGAATTTTACAGAGCTCTTCCAGTTATGTAAACTCTTCCAGTTACGTAAACTACCTTTTGTCCCTACAATATCTGTAATGAGAGCTTACTTTTTTTTTCTTTTTATTCCCCAATGAGCTCTAGCTCCCCACAGAATGTATATAATTGCCTAACATTAAAAGAAGAAAGAAAAAGCCACAAACACAAAACCCCCAAAAAACAAAACCAAAAAAGCAATAGTAGAATCTTAAAAGTTCAGGACATAAATTGAATGGAAAGATGCTAACCCTTTTTCAGCTGTATCTTTCTGCAATGAGCAGCCCACAACCTGCAAAAACACAAAACAAACAAGAAGGTTGACAGGAACTCCTCCTGCAGTGGGCTGGGAAAGGGAGCTGCACCTCGCCCCCACATTTTACTTAAGATGGGAAAGTTTCTGGTAATATGAACATCTGCCAACTGCACACAAGTCAGAGGTGGCTTATGCACAAATACCCTGTCCCAGTCTCTTGGAGTTGACAGGACCAAAGCTCTGCAGGCTGCTCCCCCTTCCCCACACCAATCCTCTAGTCCCAGAATTGTAGAGATGAGCAGTCCCCACCCAGCCCAGGCTTTAGAAATGCTGAAATTCTGATGGCCTTGAAGGAAAACCTGCCAAGAGCAGGATGCTGGAGCTGCTTCTAGCAGGCAGAAGCAGCAGCAGAAGGAAGGACATGGAACTGCACATATGGAGGGTCATCTCTAAATAGGGGAGTGAAAGTCTGACGGCTGTTTGCTTCACAGGACTCAGCCCCAGCACAGCACTGGTTGTTGTCTACAGATCACAGCCAAGTCCTACCCTTCACCTGATGAGCTCCAAGTATGTGGACAACAGATGATGATGTCCGTCTGGCACAGCCAGAGTGGTGTGGCCTCAGTGTTATTTTTTTTCCTGGCTGGACAGACTTTTCCCCATTTTTTCTGACTGGTGGTACTGCACTAAGCCTTTTCCCTTCTGCTTCAAACTCTATATGCCTTTCTCTTATGTCCTTACAGTTTTCCTTCAGTGTCCCCTTTCTCAGTCAGGTAAGCTAAGCACACCTTTTGTTGTGTGATGGGTTTTATTTTTGGATTTGTTGTTTTGTTGGGTTAGAGTTGAGGGGGGTGTTAAGAATAACATGCTTTTGGTTACAATAACATGACTCACTACACTTTAACAGTCTCGGAAGTTACAATTACCCCTTTATTTTGTATCCATTTGAGATTGCCAGCTCTTTGGTAGGGAATGTTAACTATTCCATAAACAGCATGCCAGACACAATCAAGCATAAAACAGCTGTCTGGACCTTAGGTACCTGAAAGGAAAACTAGACTTTTGATTTCAGTAGCCTTAAAATTAAAGGAGAAATCAATTGTTTTATTTATTTCTTCACTTCTATGCATTTTATAGTTAGCACTTGTACTTCAGTGAACACACGTAATAAAAAAATAAGATTAAGGATTTTCAAAGTTTATACATCTTGGAGTTTCTCAGTATGTCATATAGCAACATCAAGACAATATGGGAGAAGCCTCATTCCCTGGCCAAATGATGCACTGCCAGCTGCATCAAGGTACCTCACTTTCTCTGCAGATTTACCGAGCAGCCCAGGACACTCATGAACGCAGGTACTCAAAAATCCCCAGCACAGAACACCTAGAAAGCTATTGTGCCTTTCAGTGAATGCAACACTCAGAAGTCTGCACTCTGAAAAACATATCTCCTGCTGTAACTACTTAAATAGGACTTTTTAGCTGCTCCTTCTTTCATAAAAGCATATCAGTTTCTACTTCAACCAAATGGTGTGCTGCACCCCTACATAGCTTCAGATAAATAATAGTCTCTACAAAATTGCCCTCACAAAGCTTTACTGTTAGATTTAACTCAACAAACAACTTACTTTCAAGCATTTGAAAGAGGCCCATACATGTTAGAAACACACAGAGGCAGATTTGCCCTGGTAACTGAGGTTGAGGGGGAGGAAAAAACCCTAGGACTATCAGTATTACAGAGCACTCTAATAAATAGATAGTATTGCTATTAAGAGTGACTCACTCTAGAAAAAAGGCTACCAACAAATATTACAAGCCATTGACTCTTTGTAAAAAGACAGCTCCCATATAATTGAAAGAAGGAGTGTCATTTTAACTTAAACTACTCTAATGCACATCAAATTACTTTCTTTTTTGTCTGTCTGGTATTTGGAAAATTTAACATACCGTATTTTTGAAAAAGTCTTTCGGAGAAACTTGTCTGTCACCCCAAGATAACAGGGATCTACTAGCACACCAAGCCATTCTAGATGGGTAGCTAGACCTCTTAAAATACTGTTTCATTAGCAATTAGTAGGGTTTTCTTTTCCTAAGGTAAAATCCTACTATTTTTCCTATTATTTATCCTAATATTTATCCTAATATTTTAAATGTAAAATGCCACCATCAAAAAAGCACTGGTGCTAACAACTCAAAAGCAGAAAGAAAACTGCAGACGGCAATCACGATGGGAAAGGCACCCGCTAAGCCGCCCTTGTGCAGGAGACTGGTGTCATGGGAGGAGGAGAGCCCAGCGAGGAAGGAGCTGGAGACACACGGTGTCAGCAGGAATTGTGCGGAATGACAGAGGACAACATAAAGTAAGCTGCCAACACTGACCAGCTCGACAGGAGCTTTGATTAGCACAAGCAAATAGTACATTCATTGGCTTGTAACTTTCCAAAACTGCCAGGAAGCATTGCAAGTTCCCCTGGTTAGTGCACAGAGCTGGAGCCTGGTACCATACTAAAGGCAGAGTAATTTTTCTATCTGCCCTATAATCTGCCATCTCAAACAGAAACAAAAGGCAAGATCTGGTCCCATGCACCAGGAAGCAAAGGCAAGCAAAAGGCAAAGTTGAGAAAGCACTCACGACTTGAAGCTTCATTTAAAAAAAGCAAACTGGAAGCTCAGTGGCAGGTTCCCAAGCAAGCCGGTGGATTTGTACATCTGGTTGCTGACATCTGCAGGATAGCCAGCTTAGAAAACACGTGTTTCCAGAAGCATCATGACAGAAGCTGTCAAAAATACTGTTCTTCTCTCCTAACAACCTACTAGACTTTGCCAGTGGTTTTAGGAGGCGGCAGTATCAGCTAATCAGGCACTAAAAATGCATTCTTTGGAAGAAGCTACTCTAGCGTTTCTTGCTCTGCACAGGGATACTCTGCTATCAGAAAGAGCACTGAAAATTCAAAATACATGCCAGTTATGTCAAATATGTAGTTGAGTCTTTACAGTGTTTGATTTTCTGGTATCATTCAGATTTCAGTCTCCTAAATCATCTTATCCACAGCCTTCCTGCCACTCCAAGATTCAGTCTTCCAACCAGGTGGCACATAAGAATCTGTGCCAAGAAGCTGCACCTTCTACCTAATAACAGTGAGGCTTTAAATACATACAAAAAGGCATCCTGAACTCTTGGCAGAACTACATCAGCTATTCAAACACATGCAGTGAACAGCAGTCCAGCATAAGGTAGGGACAGGAGGAGGAAAATGAGAAAGCGGGGGGAAAAAAGAAAATATTTTCAAATAAAATTTACTAAGTGGCATTTGAACACGTGATGAGGGAGAAGAGGAAAACCAAAATAATCAAGAAGCATGACTGAACGTGGACTTACAATCAGTAACAAATCTTTACCAAAATAGAAGAAGCAGTGCTGATTAGTTAAAGCAAATACAGTTCAGCTCCCAGCAATGGAAGAAAAACATACACATAAAAAAAATGAACAGTACTGAAGTACTTTCCCTCCAGCACACATACGTGCTTTTTGGAATTCTTTCTTGGTTCAGGTTTTTTATTGGCTTCTAAGCAAAGTACTTACTCCTCAGGAAGGCAAAGTCTTCCTAAACTGCCAGGTTAATCTCTGATACATAGGAGAGGCTCTGACACTTACCGGTTCTCCAAAAAGCAACTATATTAAAAGCCGCCTTCTCTCATTAATCAGCCTAAGTATGGCCATCTAACAAAAATGACATGGACAAGAAGGAGACAATATATTTCACTATCCCAGAGGGGTGTGGTCTTGCCAGCTAGTTGCTCAGCATGCCTATATGGGCACCACGATGACATGAGCAAATAGGCGAGTCTTGTAAGAAAATCTGCTATCAAATCAGTTACAAGAGGCCATTAAAAGCAGCCTTCTGCTGCTGCTGTTCTCTTTGGTCAATATTGCTTTTGCTCAAAGGCTGTCTGCCACACATACACATGGAAAAACCTGCAGATCAGTAAGACCCTTTCAACGGAAAAGCGCAAAAGGAAAAGAAGGGCTTTCCCAGCTCTAGGACTGCATTTACCCTAAGAGCGAGTAAACTCAACTAAAAGGAAGGTGAAAAACAGAGAAAGACTTCCAGATGTTTGTCCCAGTTGCTGGTTGTGCGACATCTTTAGAGTGCTCAGATTACAGCAGTATGTAGATGGGGTAAACTGTTTTCCTTTTTTGAAAGACTACTGCACATAGGAGAATGGAGACGGCTTGATTGCCATATATTCTGGGAAATAAAAAAAATTTATCTCCTTCAAGGAGAGTTAGAAGAATTAAATGGCATTTCAAAACTAAATTGCTACCATCAAAGTTTTTATATTGCCACCTAATAAAAACAAAATAACATCAAGAAACCTCATGCAATGGTGTGTGCTTTTATTTACTTGGGGAAAAAAAACTAAACTAAAAAATGTCTCGAAACTCCTCCAAAACAATGTCATCCTGGTAACCATAAAATCCATTTCAGCTTCAAAATGCATTTGAGCCTTTCGGTTGCTCTTTTTAAATAGATGTAGTGGCACCATTTTTATAGCAACTTGCATGAATCTGAAAGCAAGCTAATTCCCAGCTGCATATTCCAAGCTTTGCACCATGGTTAATAACCTAAATTTAAACTGCCAAGCCCACCAAATGCCCAAACACTTGAAAACTGTGCCAAGAGCATTAAAATCAATAGCTTCTGCTGAGAGCAGAATCTCTTCCAGATGCTCACTGAATCTCTTCCTAGCTCACATCGCCAGCCTGTACGCTACAAAGCAGAAACATTCTTCCATTCCACGTCAACAGTATCTCTGAGCCAGTATCAGGAATTTCACTAAGCCTGGAAATAATAAATATGCTTACACAAGCTAAGACAGAAGCAAGAAAAACTGATGGGAGAAGAAATGGAATAACAAACTTCAGGGAATAGAGGGAACGTTAAAGGGAGACGTAGGAAAGTATATGGAAAAAAAGTGCACTTATTGCTTGCTGAAAGAAATGCTCTTGCTAATTTTCAGTCAGCTTTTTATCTCCTATGTTCTTATCCCTGGTAATAAACAAAAAAAATTCCATGCAGATTTGCATATTCCGAACCTCAGTATTCTTAAAGAAAAATGCATTTTACTGACAGACAGTAGCCATCAAGTTTAAAATTTCAACAGAAATGGTTTCAGATGGTCTTCGTGGCTCCAGCAAAATGCTTGATTTTGTTCTTCATTGCAGCTCCACTCCAGATAATGGCTTGTTAGCCTGGTTCTTGCTAGTTGCTAATGAAACTAGGATGCTACAAAGGAATAGTGTCTCCTAAAGAAAAAAAAGGCAATCCTACTAGTTTGCTACAAAATTTTTGCTTACTAGCCATCTGAATCTTAATGGAATACACTTTGCCATAAAAAATATAGCTTTAATTTACAAAATTAAATATATAATCATTACTGAATCCCATTGTAATGCTTCTAAATGTAATGTTTATCGCTGCAAACAAAATTATACCACGCTATCTTGAATGTTGCAACAAGCTGTGTAGGGTATTTCTAATCTGAGTTTTGATTACTTGCAGCAATACACCTACAAGAATCTGCTAACAAGACTCTGGCTGTTAAAGAGCTTAAAAAGAAGGGAGAGGGAAAGAAAACTGGAAGATTATATTTGCCAAGGTGGTAAGACTTTTGTCTGAAACCAAAACACCATTTTGTTTTACTGCTGCAAATTTTGGTTTTGGAAGCAAAAGAAATGTCGCATGACTTTTCCTCCAAAATACTTTCTGTTCTGATCCCCTGTACTTCCAATTTATTGTTATGCTAAGGTTATTTAGTAACAGATTTACCTGTGTTTCCTTTTCTTCTTTCTGGGAGGAGTATCAACATCTTCAGCAGGGACTGGTGCAATAATACTAGATTCCTTTACTCTAAACTCATACACCTAACAAGAGATACCATAATACATCCACGATAAATCTCTCACTAGTAGAAAGTTGCTCATTTTCTAAGTTAGTATGATTTCCTTCAACCAAAAACTTACAGATTATATCCAGTCATAGTCTCTTTTCAATGCATTTAAAGCTGATTATTTTTGTCATTTAAGAACTGATAGGCTAATTTAAACCTCCTGTAAATTTAATTTAAAAACAGTTTTAAAACTAACTTTTATGTATTTGTGGTATGAATTCTGGATCACAGCATTCTTGGGAAAACCAAGAAAATTAAGTAATTTTCTCTTTTAGTAATCAATACTGGTATTTCTATACTTCAGTTTTAAAAGTAAAAAGCTATCACCCCTGGCAAGTAGCTTCCTTTCTTACCTGTCTGCACGTTTTGGTCCCAATCAGTCTGGCAATTGCACAGAAGTTGTCATAGTAGGTGCCAATAAGAACTCTAAACATTGAGGCTTCTGCACCACTCCATTCCACATTCTCCGGAGGCTCAATATTTGGCTTCATCTTTATCGGTGTTTGACACCTAGAATTTGCTTCTGTAACAAATAATTGAGAGTAAGGTAATTTCAAAAATTTTACACAGCCCTTAAAAATGTCAAATTATTAACTGAAGCTAAAAATATCCCAAGTTGTTGTTGTTGTTGTCTCCTAAGAGCCACAAAAACCCAGCACTTTCCACACACTTCTTGCAGAAGCTAGGAGTAGCTATTCAATTACATGATCTATACATAAATTGAGACAATCTGGGCATTTCCTTTCAGGATTTTGTTTGATTAAACTCATATTATTAGTCTGTCTTTTCATTCAGTCCCATACATTCTAAATACGCATTTCCTGTGGCCCAACTTGTTTTGGTGGGTTTTGTCGTTGGTAGGCTTTTTTTGTTTGGTTTGGTTCTATTTTGTCTTCTCAAGCACTGCAGCTAAACTGAAAAAAAGAACCATAGAGCAGCCTCACCAGAGGAACTGGATGTTTCATCTTTCTTTTCTTCTTCTTCTTTATCATTGTTTTCTCCTCCAGTTTCCGTTCCAGCTTCTCGGTCACTGTCCGTGTCTTTTGATTCCAAGACATTTATTGTTGGCGTGCTGGGTCTGCTGGTGTTGTTTGGAAGTCTCCCCCTCCGGCGGCCACCCGGGCGCTTTGGTGGTGTCTTTATACGCTCAGCAGTCAAGGCAGCTGCAAACTCCTTTGCTCCTTCCTAAACACAAAACATCACAATTTTTAGTAAAATAATTAAAAAGTGGTTTCTCCCATGATCAGGGCTTGGGAAAAGGCACATTCTGCTTGTATACTGCATAATTCTGCATTATTCTACAAAATAATCATGTACACAGAAATTCCAGTTAAATGTACTCTAACCATAAACATAAAATACTACCATGAAAAAAATCTACATTTACAAAGTACTCATATCAGTATTCTAGTTCCCCTTTCATTTTGGCTGCCAAGTGAAAAATAACTCAGTATAAGTTTCTATTTTCCCAGATGACATAAAAAATGAGAATTTCCTACAGAGAATACCTGTCAAAACACAGGAACTCTTCTTGCACATGGCACTTCAACAATGTGTTCTGCATTTTTTAAAATGCAAGGGTTGGTAATTTGTTTTCTAGTGGAAAGCGGTATGACAATGTGTAGCAAGTTTTTAGATCGGAAAATCGCATAGTTTTTCATACTAAAAAATTTAGGAGAATTATGAGAGAGATTTGAAATTACATTACATCTCACCTTATTAATTTCTATGGAATCTGCCTTCGGCAAACTAAAAAACCCCTATAATGTTTAGTTGTGATATAATCTACAAGAGATCTTATTCTGCAGTTCCTTGACTAGATTGGACACATAGCAGCAACACCATCATTAGGAGGTAATAGTATTTCTTCCCTACAGTATCTCAGGCCACATCTAACAGATCTAAAATGTATTCCTACTTAAGATGATTGGAAGTTAAATCTTTTCTTTCACATCAACTGAAGATAACCTACTTGACTGCAAGTGGCCCACAAGTATATGCACTATCCTAGATCCAGTGTGTCCTTATATAAAGTGTATCCTGCTATACTGCAGCTAGCACTAGCACTCAGTGAATTGTAACATATAAAATTATCTTACCAAATGTTGGTAACAGTGCGGTCCACAAGGCTTATTATCTAATGCTGTTTCTGTATTCTTTCGTTTATAAGTATTAGGAGTTGCATGGAATGCTGTTGAATCAAAACATCACATTTTTAAGTTTTCATACAAAAATTTATTAAATATCTAACCTTAAACAGTATTCAAAACACAAGGTTTACCGAGACTTTACTTAAACCGGAAAAAAAATATTAACAAACGGGAAAAAACCCACAAAATAAACCCCATGTAGTGACATCTGACTTACCACTTAAATACACAGAGACGACACATAGGTTAAGTTTCACATATCATGGAATGGTTTGGAAAGGACTTTAAAGATCATCTAGTTCCAAACCCACTAGTTTGGACAGGGACACCTTCCACTAATGGACCAGTTTGCTCAAAACCCCATCCAACCTGGCCTTGAACATTTCCAGGGATGGGGCATCCACAGCTTCTCCAGGCAATCTGTTCCAGTATCTCACCACCCTCACAGTCAAGAACGTCTTCCTTATATCAAATATAAATCTATTCCCCTTCAGTTTAAAGCCATTATGCCCATTTACATCAGCAAAGACAATCATCACATTTATTTCATATATCAAGGAAGATTTGCTCTATCTCCCTTCCTAACAAAAGAACAGACTTTAATTTGTTGTCATGTTAAACAAGAATTATTCAGGGCTTCTATTAATGCATGATCATTCTTTCAATCTGTTAGATTCAGTTGTTCAATTCCTATCTTGTCAAAAAATCCCAAGCCCTCTTTGGAAAGGTAATGGATCCAACTTTATATTTTCATCAAGGAGGAGACATGTAAGCATTTTTGCTCTATTAGTTTATCAGCACTCCAACTAAGCTGATGGGATATAAGAGTTCAGTTCCTGTATCCCAGCTGCAGGGTAAAAATAAGTTAGCATTGCACAGTCACTATGGATCAGAACAACCACAGTTAAGTCTGCAACTTGCAGAGAAGTGTCTGCTCCTTATCTGATGGACTCTATACAGCTCTGTATAAGCTGCAGAGCAGTAACTCGGAAAAGAGCAGAACTGGGTATGTTACACATGCAACATGAGCATCTTTATAACAGGATAGTAGAATTTCCTACCCATTCTCTTTGCCAGAGCCTGTTGTCTTCCCGTGCAATCCCTGCCAGCAGGGTGCTTTCAGAGAGACTGACTTACATAGTTTTGCTGGAAGTCTTGGGAACTTCTCCGTAACACTTACTTAACTGAAGCCTGGAAAACCTGCCACTAGACTCTCATCAAAACTCATATACTTATGCTCCCAAATTACCTTAGGAGCTTTTTTAAATACTATCCTTAGTTTTCTGCAATATTCTTTTTAAAAAAAATTCATCTGGGTGCAAGAAAACATTATTCTGTTTTTTTATATATATGTACACACATATATACACAAATAGATACATATCAGTAAAGACTTTGTCCCTCTAAAGGTGTTAACAGTGGCATACAGAACTGCAAATAACAAAAATGGGGAATGCACTAAAGTTCAAAAGAAAAGAAAAGAAAAAAAAAGAGACTACTCAGTGCTAGCCGTCTGTTTGTTAATGTTCCTTGAAGGCCTAGAAAAGATGCTCATCTGAAAATGTGGAATTTCCAGGCTCCGTAAAAGTACTTATGCTGCAGTTTTACCACAGCTGCAGTTAGGCAACTGTAACTTACAGTGAAGTTTTTAAACATTCAGTGAATTATAAATGCTAACGTTCAAACTGAAAGATGAAATCCCTCCCCTCTTACCCATATTAACCTAAAACTGCAGTTCCATACCAACACGACAGACATCCCTCTCCTTCTTTAACCATCACCATAGGCTTTCCTACTTATCCTGTTTCTAGATCACGCACAAGGCTTCTCTCTATATATCAGCTATGCTTTCAAGACTGAGCTTTTTAAATGCAGCTCCTTCCCTTTTAAAGAATGTGGGCAGAGCCCAAATATGTCTTCATAGACAAAGTTTTTAAAAGCAAATTTCATTTCAGCGGTCTGGTTCACAGTGTAGCTCTGCAAGCATCAGTGAGGAGGGTGACCAGTGCTGGTGAGCACTTCTTAAGAAAGTTTCTCTGATGAAACCACTCTGTCTTGGAATCAACCCTTCATGCCCCCCTCCCATAAAGGAGGGCAGGTTGAAAATCAAATCATACATTCTATACTGTTGTGCCTGTATTAATGACAACAGCACATGGAACCCCAGAGAAGCAACATATTCTCCAAGGCTTTCTTAAAATGGTATAAACAATATTATCAACAATATTATAAACAATAGTATCACTAATTAAATATTGCATCCCTTTATTAAAAAAATACATTACATTTTATAAATCAGGAAACACAAAAAAGCTTTAATTTTCTACATATGGGCATGTAGCTCATAAAAATTACTTACAAGCAAGCATAGGAATGTAATTTATGCATATTGTTGCTATTAGCACTTTCTTTCCCCAGGTTTCAGTTAAAAGCTTTTATGTAGTATGTCACTTCTCATATGTTTCAAGTAACCTTGAAGTGTTCATGCATTCTCTAGGTAAAATATGCTAAATAACAAAGAACTAGCAATTTAATGCCAAGTTATTCCACCTTTTTCCAGCTTTTAAGGAACAACGAAATGATGGGAGTGTCCCCCCCCAAAACAGAGGGGAAACCTCCACATTTTGTAACACTGCATCTTTAAATTTGCACAGTATATAATCTCATTCAGGTTTTTTTTTCTGCATAATGTTTTACTTTCTCTTCATAGCACAAGAAAAATAATTTTACATCAATGCAAAAGAGCAGTAAAACATTTGCAAGCCATGATCCATATCAGAGTGCTGCAGTGTGCAGAAATCAAAACTATTCTTTTTACGTGTCGCTTGCAGATGCAAACACTTCTCTCACAAGTTCATTGTGCGAGGTCCTAGAATGAAAATTTTTTCAAAAATTGTTTTCCTTTGGACAATGAAAACCTAGTTAGTTTGCAAGGTAGTGAAATAAATCAACCTTTGATATTTTTAAACCAGAGAGACTTCAAAAGTAGGCTCTGATACTTAATATTAGAATTATATCTTGTATTAAATTATTTAAAAAACACCCAACATAGAATGGTTAAGATACCTGTAGTCAAAATCTACCACCACTGTTGTGAGAGATTTTTTTGGGGGGAAGGCTTGTTACAAAGAAAGGACCCAGGGTAAGTATAAAACTATTTGTATAGCTGTATTATTAATTTTTCAAATATCAGTAATAATGTTTTTCAAAAAAATCACAGAAGACTTCGTAGGGTTTCCTAAATAACTAAAGTCCGTATTTCTTTAATAATTTCCTCAAGAAAATAATTCTAAAACTGCTTCACTGAGCATATTTTTTCTCTTTGAGATTTATTATCTGTCTCATCCCCAATGGGCTCAACTCTCATATTTTTCATATTGTGAAAGTACACAGGCAACGGTTTAGCCTGAAATGTACATTTGCTTCACAGTCAAGCTATTTGGGAAATTCCCCCTACCTGATACTTTTCCTTCTTCTAAATTCTTTGTTAGTCCAGACATTTAGGCATAATTCCTTGCTGTCAGCAAATGAAGTCGGTACACAAGTTTTTTCAGTAATGTCATCACCTGCACATAAAGGGATTGCCAGGTCGTCAAGGGGACTTGACATGTTAAAAATCTAATGATAACTTTTCCTATATTTAACTCAAATGTTCTAGAACAAAGACTGGAAACTCCATAAAGTAAGGCTGATCTTAGCAAAAATGGAATCTAAGAGGGGGAATTACAAGAAGCAAAACCAGATCCAACAGAATTCCTCTATTTTTTTTTTTTTATTCTCTCTGCCTTCTCCAGAGATTTGTACCTTTCAGAGTACAAATCTGATCACTGTGGCCCACCACATTGCCAAAGTAATTCATCAAAAATGTCATCTGCAGAAGCCAGGACATCATCCTGCAGCACTTGGGAAGTGCAAGAAGTAGAACAGAGGCAACTGTAGAAAGGTTATCAACTTTTTTTAAAAGTTAAATTGTTGCAGAGACACTGAAAATTGCTTAGTGCAGCCTTCCAATAACAAGAGTGGTCTTTTTTTTTTTTTTTTTTTTGATGAGTTACTTATTCCCAGCAATGAGCCTGGTGAGTTTTGACCAACAGTCTTAAAATTTCACAGGAAGCAAAGAGGTCATACAAGTGACTCTTTCACTTTTTAAGAGATAAATTCCTAGCTCTAGACAGACACGCAGACAGACAGACACAGACAGAAAACAATCCTCTTTCCTTGGTATTGCTATGGACAAAAGCAAAAGGAAGCAATGCATCCAAAGCAGTGAGCAGTCATTGTTGAGGTGGAATTTGGGTATGTTTTCAGGGAATGGTGACTGAAGCATCAGTTTACTACATTCAGTGTGCAGTGCAGAGGCTACATAGTGAATGTGTAAATCAAGCTTCAAGAGATCTCTTTGCAATGATCAAGTAACAGATACATCATTATCAGTGACAATGCATGTGCTGCATAGGCTGTCATGAGGAGCATTATCATAAGCAGTAATTTCACACTCCATCATGACACAAAGGTACCTCTTGAACGCCTTCACAGTGAAAGTGCTATTCATCCCTCTTGCTGCTATGGCCCTGAAATTCTGAGGGGATGATTTAAAGTTTGGGCATTTTTAAGTACGAGGCACAGTTTAAATGAAGCGTTGGACATGCACCAGGTTGGAAAGAACACTGACTTAAATAAGGGACGTATCAAAACTCATCAGCAACAAGAACTTAGGCAATCTTTCAGCATAAACACTTTGTCTTACACCTCAAGGTTATGAACATAGAGAAAGGAGGCACAGCACTTTCGGCTTAAAGGATGCTGCTAGTGTGAGAACTGAGGTCCTTCAGCCAGTCAGTGTTTCAACCAAAGACTCTGGACTTTCCCATTGGCTGAAATGGGCACTCAAAAACATGTCAAAATGTACAACACTATGAACCCATCCTTCACAGCACTGAGAGAACAGAAGTCTCTCAGAGTTCGTGCCTCAGAACGGTGAACTGGCAATACGAGGCTCCCCAAAGTAGCAGGTACCAACATATGGTCAGTGGAACCTTTCAGTTCTACTTTTGTCAATCTGCAAAAATGACTGTGAAAGGCAAATCCACAGACTAATGAAATATATGCATATTTTAGAGGAACCCACATGTTCATTGGAAAAATCCTACAAGTTTATAAAATCAGTGAGAAAAATGACCTAAGACCACTGCTGCAGAAATACCTAAGGTCTTCAAAGGTGCCCCTGGGAAGAGTTTGTTCTCACTATGTCCAGATAATGCTTTTTCGTTGACTTAAAAAGTCAAAATCCTTTTAAAATGGCACTTAGTCTCTCTGCTAAACTATTGAGAGTGTCAAGAACTCATATAACCCCTGCCACACAAATGGATTGCCAAGAGGCAGCATGCAGCTTCACTTCCCTGGCCTGCAGACTAAGGCTGCACACAGCACTTCTTGGAATGAGTCATCCAGGCAACTAAGCTACTACAAAATCTACAGCTTCACAGAACACATCATGTTCAATCTGGCTGGACAAGGCAGCAGCTATACCTCCAGAAACTTACTGTTCTTTAACATTATTCAGAAGTAAGAGCTTCCTTTTATCTTTTTCCTCCTATTTTCAAGCAAGGGCTGTCAACAGAATATAAGCAGAAAGTGAAACTAACAGACCTAGCTCCAAAAGGCACAAATACTGTTGGAACAAGGAATGTGAAAAGCTTCCCTCCTCCCCACCACCTGAGAACAACTCCAATTCCTCCTCAGACTGAAAGGCAACTAAGGGATACTAAAAAGCAGCAGCATTGTGCAAAGCCTTCAGTGTGAAGTACAAACACAGGCAGATTGCATGTCTGCTGGATGAGGAGCTGCTGACAAAGCACAAAGATTTCCAAATGAACATGCATGCGCACTCACAGTGGAACATGCAAATGAACAGTTAAGTCAAAAGAGAAAATTAATTTGAGGGCATCACAGTGTTCCACTACAAGTCAAAACCAGTTCATAATTGACTGTTCGTTTCCCCTTCACATTTGACTCTGTTCTCTGAGCAAGAACTGCCTCAGGTAGCACTTCAGAATCTCTCTTACTCTTCACACTTTGCAAGTGAAAACTAACATCATTGCTAAGCTCTTGTTAAATCCTTCCCCCAAAAGAATGGGGCAACATGAAAGCAATTCAGTGGAAAGGATATCAAAATTTTTTAACTCAACTCTCTGAAATAATTCTTCAAATAAGTAAGTTATTAACTTCAGAGAATAAAAGATAAAACTGTTCATAAGCGTTTACTCTCCCTACTGGAAAATGAAACAAGTTTGATGAATAACCAAGAATTTTTATGGAAAAATACATTCCATTCTCCATGCATAAACTGAGAAAGTGTAACACAGAACTGATAGTAGAAAATAATGCAGTTTTCTTACAGACTATATAAAGAGAAGTGATGTTACAGGTTGGTCCAAGTCAGGAATTCTATACAAAGTCCTAAATGCAAAAAGGATAACAAACTACCCCACAGAGGTGCATTTGGTTTTTTGAGGTATAGTTTTCACTGCAAAATAACGTCAACATGGACAGGCTGTTTTCATAAACTTCAGAGATACTGATGTTTTTATTTTTTCTTCTCTTTCCTTCCTACTGCACTGTATCCTGACTTGCAAAAGCAAGATATATACAAGCACACTATAATCATACTTACGATGTAAGAAGCAATCATATTTAAAACAGCGTCTACAGAAGAGTGTGTGAAAAGAGTGCAGGCTTTGCTCCCTCTGAACGGATTTAGCATTTGGTCCATCTATGTTCGGTGTGCATTCAGGAGGAAGAGCTCCGGGAAGCTGCTGCTCAGTGAGTTCTTTGTATCTTTAAAAGAAAGTAATGGAAGTTATTTATTATTCCGGTATCACTTTGCATTTTCAATGACAGATTAAAAAAAGAAAAACTAAGAAATATGAGCCAGCTGAAAAGTCAATCTTTTAGTGATACAACAAGTTTTTAATTTCAAACTCATTAATACAAATATAAAATTGACTAGGAAAGAATACGTCTGTTTTCCAGACCATCATCTCTTCATACATATTACTCACTAACTCTGAAAAGGAGATTTATTTCTCTTTTCAAACAGAAGCTTTTGCTTTAATACCTCAAAAAATTACATAGATTATTAAAGACACACAAGCATACCCTTTCTACCAGTTTAAAACGAAGGCTAATAAACACTATTGTTTGACTCTGTGGGAACAGCCAATTCCCTCCAAGTATCACTTGCAGTAGTTACACAACTGCCACAGAACTAGCTGCAAGGGGGACCATTCCTAATCAACAAATATTTAATGAAGTTGAGGAATCTTTGTTTCATAGAGCAACACAGCAATATGCCCTAAGAAATGCTTTCTTACTTCTCTTTCAGTTCTTCTGCTGTACCCTTGTCCGGAAACATGGAGGAAATGGCTTCAAATATCTTGTCAGAAGGAAATCTCCGAGGTGGGTGGCTTTCTTTCTCTGTCAAGGAAGCAAAACATTTGGAAAACAAGAAAATTATATTTCTGTTTCTTTGCTACCTCAAGAAGGTGTTCAGACAAAGGGGGACTTCACCAGAATTCTAATGTGTGAAAAAATGACAGACAACTTAAACTGGGTTAAGTGATCTTTCCTGCCGAGAAAACTCTATTAGTAAAAATGGAGAAACAATTATTTCACCAGCAGATGGAGACGGCAATTCAGAACTCTGCCTACTTTAGAATAATATTTCATTTTTTGAAGAGCATCAAAGCATTTATTAGACAGATATCTGACTAATTTTTGTTGCATCTGACTGCCTCAGTATGCAGATAAAGAAAAAGTGGCATAAGTGCCCTTTGCAGTATTCTCTGTACAACTCTTGAAATAAATCACAAAGGAAATTATGAAAATCCTGCTACTTTAGACCTGAAAACTGTATTGTATAAAGAAGAGTTTGAACAAGTTTATTTGGTGGTTAAATAAAAAGCTTTGGGTTTGATTTTTAACCCCTGCAGACAGACATACCCATCCTGTTACCTTCCCGATCTTTTTGCTTGTCATCTCTTTCCTCAGGATTGTCATCTCCATCATCATCATCTTCATCGTCACTATACTGACCAAGGGCATTGACCAGCTCAACAAATATTTCATCGTTGATAAATCCACATTCTGAAATTCAGCAAAATTGTGAGTGAGTACAAAAGCACAAGGTGTATATGAAGTATTTTTAATCCTCCCTACACTTCAATTAAATTATGGTAAATGCTGTTGTTTATAAAAAACAATTTTGTATTTTCCCCCTCTTAGTTTCAGTGTATGAACAAGAGATGAGTTAAAAATACTCATTATTCATTTCTTAGACTGACAATTGGGAATGCAAGAAGGAAACTTGTGGACATTTTCCTTTTCCCTACTTCCTATGCTTCATACTAGTACACATATATAAATCTCTCCTCCTTGGAAGATAAAAAAAATATTACCAGCTAGACTATTTAGGAGATTTTATGCCAGAATCCCAGTTCCAACACGATAAGTTAAGCCAGTCTGGAAATGCATGTTAACAGTCTATAAAGTAATTCTCAGTCAGCTGGGGAATCTCATGAGAGATTTTTGGTTGGTAGTCCCTTAGCATCCACTTCCCTACAGACACCACTAGCAGGGTGATAAAAAAAGAATGCAGTTATATACAAAAAATTCAAGAGAAAACTGAAGGATACAATGCTGCATATATCTACTTATTAGTTTATTTTCTGTTGTGACATTCAGAGGGCAGAAGAGATTTAACAATAAGGCATTTCTGCACAGAGGAAAAATCAGTGTTAACAGAAACTGCTATTTTTCAAAAAATATCCATGAACTGTACAGGAACTTCTGTGCTTATCGCCGTCCTTTTTAAGTTGGACTGGTGTTGGATGTCAAAATAACTTGACAGAAACTAATAGTTTTATTACTATGTAGACACTGAAAACACCATTTGGATGTTTTAAACAGAACTCTTAATATACACACACAGGTTAGTACAAATTAATCTCCCAAACATGCAATTATAAAGCTAGTTCAGAATTCTGACTCCTACACAGGAATGCCTCTGGACTACAGATTCCCACAGCATTTAATTACAGTCAGTCAAGAATACGAGTAATTGGGAAACTAAAAAAAGTCTTTCTACTTTCCATATACAGGTTTGAAGATCCCATAATGACAATTGCCATCATGAACTTAGGTCTCAAGATGCTCAAACAGGACTAATTTTAAAGATAGACTCATTTAATAATAAATTAAATCATAGAAGACATTTACTACTAATGTCATCATTTTGACATAACCAGTTCTCTGACAGGGATATCAGCAATCAGTAAATCTGTAAAAATATCCAAAGGCCAAACACCACGAAACATTTTATGTTCCTTATGAAATATGAAGGCACTAGCTATCCTGAGGACATTAACAAGTCTAATGTAAGACCAAGTAGCATTTATTATTGAATCACAGGCTTAAGCTTCATGAGAAGCACATAATGAACTCAAAAAACGTAGTTCTCTTCTTCAATCACTTCAGCATTAACAGGAATATAATCAATTTTAAGAAACTATTATTCCCTGTTTTAGTGAAAGGATAGAGTGGGTGGGTAATGTTTCTGTAAAGGGAAGTAGTCAAGAGAAACCTTTACAGCTGTAAAGCTCAGTATACAGACTTGTATACTCAGTCTACAAAACTTGTATAAACCAGTTCTGAGTGAGCACACAGAGCAAGTGAAAGGTCGCCACTTCACTGAGACTTTAGCAAACCAAGAGACAGATTACATTGCATGTAGTCCAGCTCCGACAAGGGAGAAGAGGTAAACTACATCTGAGAATAAATATATACAAAACCCCACAAAGCTACAAGAGGTTATTCTATTGAATTGCATTTGCAATTGTTGTCATTATCAGAGTTTTGCATACTTCTCCTGCCACTTTCTGCTAGGCAGGACACACAGAGACATTACAATATTTTATTCCAAAGCTCTGGGCACAAAACTGAATGCCAAGAGTCACTGTATGGTATAGGGAAAAGATAATGTGCTTAATTTCTCCATACTACTACTTTAAAACCCTTAGCCTTACGAAAATGCAAAGCAATATATTTAAATAAGGAATCCAGTTATACCCAATATTTACACAATGTAGAGATTCTAGAGACACTACTGTAACAATCAAGCATCAAGCCTTAACAAGCAATACTACAACAATTATTTATGTAGGAAGAAGTGATTAGTATACCTGAGTGTTTGGGCTCACCTCTGTCTCCATGCACTTTCCCATCATAGTTCTTGATGAGTTCTTCAATAAAGGTACCATCCTGGTCAAGCACTTCATCTCCCATATATGGAATGTTATGTAAAACAGTTTCATCCTCTACCTAGGAACAACAGTTATAATCAAACTATTTTAAATTGCATTTTCAAGTGACCATTTCTGCATTGCTATTTTCCACAATGTACAAGAGTCTAGCTATCACAACTAACTGGCTTCACTGCTTTAGTACATTTACCATTAATTAAAGAAATGAAACAGAACCATCACTGAAGTTCAATAATTTTTTGCACTCATGGTGACTGGCTCAAAATACTAACACTAGCTCCTAGTCTCAAGGTTAGCAGTGTTTCCACAAAGTTTCTACTATGGAAACCCACTAAGTTACCTAGCTTTGGGAAACTTACATCTGACAAGTTCATTTGCCCTCCTGTGGATCTCTTCTACAGTAATGTTGGAAACCACAATGGAAACCACCCCTTCATTGTTTGCCAGAGATAAGAAAATATGCCACAAAAAGACTCCAAATTCAAGTTGTCTAAACAGCAAGCAGAAACATGCCTGACAATTTAATCTGAACTCCACTGTCTTTTTTTGTCTGCATATAGACTAAATGCATTAATACTCCCATATTTTATCAGTAGAATTTATGGACCCTGATACTCAGTTGCATCTACAAAAGAACCTTCTATTATTAAGAAAATAAATGTAAACTTTCGTGCTGATCAAGATTCTGGAGCCCAAAATATCGAACACTGATGAATTGAAAGCAAGTAGAAAAATGTGTGGAAGAACTCTGTACATATACTGATAAAAATGGTTATTTAAATCACCATGTTACTATTATTATCATAATAACCAGTCAACAAAGGTGGTCATACACAAAATGATGTGACAAAGATTTGAAATACACTAAGCTTTTCAAATAACTCAAATACCTACTTTAGAAATCTAGAGTTATGGCTTCTGCATACAGTGAAGCTAATCAGAAAAAAAAGCCATACTTGGGTGCTAAATTAGAATGACCATTACGTGGGGAGACTATTTGAGGATTAAGTTCCCTTTATGCCATAAGAATTATTATTCTGCTACAGGTATGTTGATTGATTGTCTTACTTAAAAGTATTCATACTCCTCAGACAACATTTCTCATTAAGCTAATTATATACTTTCAAATAAATCAACATTTGGTAAAGGTCACACAAGACAATAGGTCACCTGAATTAAATAAACTTTACATCAAGATTTTAGAGACACTTAGGTTCACTGAGGATAGAGATTTAGTTTGAAATCAAAGTTAACTTTATTTTATTGAGGAAGGGCTTATTGGGGAGGAGGGCTTATTTCTGATTATTACTGCCTTATTACCAATACTGAAGACAGAGAGGATAGTTGGCAATGGATTTTTGCTGGTTTACTTCTAAAATGAACACTTCCCTTTTCTCCATACATTTCTCCTCCCAGCACTTGTTTAAACTTACCATAAAATTCTGTTGAAGGGGAGACCAAGAATACATTATAGGCACAGAAGCAACAGCATTGAGAGTCTTCAAAGGGATGACTTGTTTTGGAAAATCTATGTCACTGGTGACAGAGCACTGAAATAAGAGGTTGAAGTTACACTTATATAGTAACATCAGAAAAAAAAAACCAAACAAAAATAAAACACAGAGTAGTTCTCAATGTACAAAATTCAAAGAGTTTCTCAAAACATCGACCTTCGAAAAACACATCATTTTTTTAGGGCATAATACTACAAATAATTTCAGTGGGAAAAAACTTCAAGAATTATTTCTATGTCGATACCTTTGCTAATAGATCATGATGGGTTTTTTCCACTTACTATTAAGTGGCTGTGATAGTATTTTATTCAGACTATTCAACCTACGATACAAATTAAGTTTGTTATCTCAAAACAGATTTAATACCTGTTGCTGCTACACTGCTGTTAGTGCATTTACTCAAGCCATCTGAGAGCCAACTGAATTCCCCTGGGTTCAGATCAATACACTGCAGATATCATGTATTATTTATGTTATGAAAATAAATAAAATTTTACTTTAATGCCAGCAAGGCACCTTACATAAATAAAACCTCCATGTCTTTTTAACTCCTGCCTTGTTTTCCCATTATTGTCAGTTTACCTTCATCCTATCCTCAAGCCTTTAATTATGCTCACTGCTTACAAAGGAAAAAGGAAAATTAATTCTTAATACACAACTCTGTGTATTAAGCCAATGAGTTTTTCAGCTACAGGACTATTGTTCTAGAGATTCAAAGATTTACGTAGCCTCCAAAGGATAAACAATCCATAGAAATATAGACAAAATTAAGTTATTTTTCATCTAGTCAATAGTTAGCTGACACAGGTCAACTTCTCTCAAATACTTGGGCAGTAGTATGAAGAACTCTGAAAAACAAGTTAGAATCAAAAGCAGACAGAAACATACAAAGCTAGGAGAAGTACAACAAAGAGGATTTGGAGATAGGTAAAACAAAGCTTAGAACAGCTATCATAGCTACCTGAAAGGAAAAAAGTGGAGACAAAAGATCTTTCTCCTTTCCAGAAGGGAAAGATGAACAGAGCTTCACATTTCTAAAGAAATACACAAAGTAATGTAACAAACAGCATACAGAGACAGTACCCCAGTAGAATGACACAAGCCAGATTTATTTCTTTTCTTTCTAATTTGCAGCAAATGAAATTAGATTTCTGCTCCGTATATGAATATTTAAGACGCTATCTCTGCTATGCTACTGCTTTATTTCCATTTCAGGTTAATGTTTAATTCTCTAGCTAGCAGCCATCTAGCATATTTTTCATGTATTTTTAAAGAAAAATACAAAAGTAAAAAAACTAATTACTTTTATCTTTGGAACTAGAAGTCTCAGGCTGAAAAATAGGCTATGTCAAAATGACTCAAAATGTTTGGTACTAAGTCTCCATTATGTTGCTCTGTTGTTTTGGTGTGGAACCCAGCTTGATGTTTAGTAGGCCAGCACAGGACATGTTATTATCACTGTTTGAAGGCACTCACAGAACCTTTCCATCAAGTCACTAAATTTCTAGCCAGTGTCTTATGCAACTCTGAAGAAATTCAGCATATTAAGAAGAGGAGATTTTAAAGTAATCTTTTAAAGTCTCCACCATTTCTTTGTCTCACTTCTCTCACTATAAGTCATAGTAATCTTAAATCAAGCATTAGAGTTCTGACTCGTGAGACAGAGACTGGATTTGAATGCAGTAAGTAGTGTGCTCTGTCAATACAGGCAGGAAATTGACATAAGGAATAGTGAACACCAAGCTTAAAAAAAGGAAATAAAAAGAAAGAGGAATTGTGAGGAATGATCTTTTACGAACAAAAAAAAAAGGTGAAAATTGGATGTGTACCTGTGCCAATTATTATCAGAAGTTCTGATTCCACAGTGCCATTTAATAGGGAGAGAGCAGTACTTGTAATTTCATACTCAAGAACATTTAAAAGAGAACACTCAAAGTTCCTGGTCAGCTTGCATTTGAACACACATGCACATAAATGCACCTCTGTGATACACCTCTGTCCCTCAATTCTCCACTAAAATTTCAGGAAAAGGAAAATCCGTACATAAAGTGTTTTTTTTAACCTATTCACACTAAGGTCTTTTCATTCTCATCCTAGCTTTTCAGATTACAGATAAAACGTCTTCAAACTGTTTTAGTTTGAAGAAATGCCTAAAGAGCAACCGAGAAAGAAAATAAATTAACCTGGGCTGAATACAGAAAGTTGGAATGGGCTTAAACCACTGTTCAAGCTACCAACACGACACAGGACACAATCCTGAGTAACATGCTGTAGGATGACTCTGCTTGAATAGAGAGGCAGTCCCTTCTAACCTTACCCATTGGGTGATTCTGTGAACACCAGTTTAGGTGCTCAAGTTGCACCACAATTATGGAAATGTTTTTCACAAATTTAGCTTCCAGTCTGCTTGTGTAACACAAGGGTTCATCAACCTAACTAATTCCTTTTAGGATCTTTGTGGCTAAATGACTTTAATTAATATAAAGAAGGCTTTGTCAAGTGGGTGTGTTCACAGATTTCATGTGCTTTAACTCAGTAAGAACCAAAGTAACCACACATTTGTACAACTTGGGGAAAACTCCAACAGATGCAAGAGTAAACTCCCAATACCACAGAGACAAAACGGTTTGATTAAAGGATGCTGAGATATGATCCAAGTATTACCAGAAATAAAGAAGCTTCACTTTTGTGTTTCATTTAAAGCTAGGTAGCCTGCTACATATTTATTGTTTTCCAGAAGTCACATGATCAAAGTAAATCATAAATAAATTCTTTAAGAGACTCATACAAAACATATTAAGCTACCAAGCCATATCATGCTGGGGAGGGGAGGGGAGGGAAGGAAAAGAGCAACCAATTTTCCAGTAATAAAACGAAAACATGCTAACAACCTTGTAAGTGGAATTACCACAACACATGTTAACCAACCTCCCTGGTCCCGCGCAATGAGCTCACAGAAGTCATGATGTGAACAGGCTGTATCCTACGTTGTTTCCATTCTTGATTTAAGATTTCAGTTCTTTCCAGTATCTTCTGACGATTAGAATTAAACATACTCTAAAAATTAATCACAACGTTACAGATAAATCAAAGACTCTAAATTCATTTGCTAGCATCCTAAGGCATTATAACATTTACTAAAAAAATAAACAAAACCAGACAGGTTAAAAAAAAAAAAAAAGGTGCTCAAAACTCAACCATACAGATTTTGTTTAAATGTCAGAGAGATTCAATACAGTTCATTATCCCTTTCCTCAATTCAAACCACATTTGCACATTTAGATACTCAAAAGGTTTAGCACGGAACTAAATTCTAAAGGGTATGCAGCTAAAGAAGTTGCCATACTTGCTCTCCACAGTATCTTTTGATACTTAACATTCTCATATAAATGTATCACACCTGTTTATAAGACCATAGAGTTAAGACAAGTTTTCAGTAGGTTAATGAAGTATTCAGTGAAATTGTTATAGCAGATGTTAATTGCAAGACACCTCATACTTCAGAGGGAAATCAATATTTGTATAATTTCATAAGCGATAGAACCAAAAGACAAAGCACCTTTACTTCATCCGCACGTCGGAACCTCTTAAGCTGCCTCAGTCTCATATATTCTGATTTTACGCGTTTTCTCCAACAAATTGGTCCCTTCTCAGACTTCTTTCCGGTTTGACCCATGATTATCCTACAAGAGACAACATCATGTTATTATTACCAAATATGATGCCACTGCTTACAGAAGAAGTGAGAGTGAAGTTAGGTAGGACAGAGATATTCCTTTAACACCTTTCAGATTCTAATTACTTTAATTCCTCTCAATCAGACACTTATGATACCATCCCAAACCAACAGAGAAAAAAAAGAAAATGCATTTACGTGAGAGACACTGGAAAACAGTGATTTTAATTGCAGATCAGTGGGACCCTTCACACTTGCTTTAACCACTTCTAATGCCTCTCTAAAAAGGTAACTGGTGGATTTAAAGGGGTGAAAGAGGAACAAATCAAGATTCCCACTGTAAAGATAAACACTTGAATCCTTACAGTCAGCCTTGTAAATTATCTTCTGGAGATCTATGTTCACGGCAGACTAACTTTTTCCTCCTTGCAGGAGTGGTCCTCTTCACTAAGACACCAACTCCTACAATGGGCTTCTAGAACTGACCTCGAGTGCAAAGAGGTACTCCCAAGTACAGTCCTCCTACCCAGACTCAAGATTGAAGAAATTCTAGAAATATAGACAAATAATTCTGAAATAGACAGAATAAGAGAATTTGCTCTTTTTTCAAGCGTTCTATAAAAACCCAGACTGTCCACTGATTCCACTTTTGCTGATCACCCTCCTAGTGCCAACTGCTTCACTTTTATGTTACAGGACTGCTGGCAATGGAGTTGTATTTTTACATTATAATCCAAGCACATTGCTGGAATGTGCCAATCTGCTCAGTATTTTTCAAAATCAAGGACCGTATGCTGCGACTATGCTGGCAAAGACTATTTTGACAGCATCCTGAAACTAAACCACTACATCAAAGACTGGCTTCCTCACAAAAGCTGCATTGTAACAACCTACAATATTTCACTAAATAGCTCAAAATATCATTCACAATAGCCATCATGGATGCAAGGCTGAAATGTCCAGTTGTCTAAGGTTAATATATTCTCAAACAAGCATAACTAATTTGAGCAGTAACAATTACAGCCCTTCTAATTATCAAGGCAGGTCAACGTGAACAGAGGTGTCATCTTCAGATTCAAGTCAAAGGCCCAGTGCTTTCTTCACTGCCCCACACCACAGCTCCCCTGACAATCATAAGTACAGCTTTATCCAAGTTATTGGAAGCTTGTTGCTCTATTTTCAGTAGCTCTGTACAGGTCAGATTTGAATTCTATCAGACTTTATGATGGGGAGGGGGGAACTAACACAGAATCTTCTTATTCTCAAGATTACGCCTTCATTTACACTGAAGAAAAGGTAACAAATCTATAAGAGCCTGACACACATCTTCATGCAAGACTTAATAATCATATTTTGTAAGAAAAATTGTTAGGTTTTAGATTTAGAGGGAAAATTAATCTACAAACAAATAGTAGAATTGTCAGCCCAAATCATGGGAAATATCCTTTGATTAAAAAAGACACCAAATACAAATAAGTACCACATAATGCACCTGACTACACAGAGGGGGAGGATGGAGAACCAGCACAGGAAGGTAAATCTAGAGTAAAGCATCAAACATAGTTATACTGCTTCCATGCACAAGGCAGCAAGTAGAATCCTCCTATATCTTATTTGTCACAACACCATCAGTTACAAGAAATAAAAAAATAAAATAATAATTTAAAAAAATAATCCTGGACCATTCATGTTAGAACACAATCAAGACAACCAGTGACTCAAAGTGCACTATGATATTGATTAGAGAACAGCATAAAAACACCATGAAGTACAGAAAATACATTTTATTATATGTTAAACTAAGCAAAGCAAAAATACGGAAAAACATCCCATTAGCTGGAAATAAATTAGATATAGAGTAAGTGCCATTAAATAACAGAATCTCAATTTGTAAACAATACAGAATGTCAAAATTGCTTCAGTTACAATTCAGCCAAAAGACATGGAAAAAGTACCAGTGAACTCCAAAGACAAACGAAAGCTCAGCTGGTAATACTGAAGTAACAGAGCTCATAAAACAAAAACACAGATTACATTTACTTGTGCTAATACTGCATCAACCACAGCCCTTCTTATTCTAGTTTCCTGGAGAATAATAAATGACTCGGGCTTAAAAAAGCTTTCTTAACTGAAATTAATTTGCCAGATAAGCCCTACTCATCAAAAGCAGATCTATATGGAAATCATATATAATTGGATTAAAAACAACAACAAAACAAACTGACAAAACCCAACTGAATTTCCATCTTTCTTTCATACAACTTAAATACAGCCCCAGGAAGACCCCACAAACACGGTTTTAAGATGTGAGAGAAATGTATCTCCATCAAATAAAAAATCCAATCTATTCAATTTTCCAGCAATGAACATCATTGTTACCTGTTGTACTAAAATGTTAAAAAAATAACACTTCACAAGAAGATTCACATTTCCCTTTAAAACAGCATAACTTACACTCAGGTCATTCATCTGAAAACAAACGTGACTTATAAGAACACTCCTCTTCCACTAGTTTCAAGCTGCTATCTGGTGCACAATACAGAAAATGACTTAATGTTCAGCGCACCAAAAAACAAATCATAGAAAGTGAAAAAAAATTCCACTGTTGCTTATGTCAAGTTATAGCAAGAAAAAGTTCTTCTAGATAAGGTAATAACATTATTGTGCAATAGTCGGTGGGATATACGTCATATATTAAGTCAAATAAGTACAAACAAATTAAAAACTTCCTCTTAAATGGTAAGTCCATATTATGAGAAAAAGCACTGACTGGAAAGGAAACATATGCATAGATAGGTTATAGAAAAAATATAGCTCAGGAAAAAATAAAAACTGTCCTGGATGCATGTTTGTAAAAAATTTTCAGCAATATTCAAAATTAATATATTAATGAACTCTCAGCAGCAGTTTTTCAAACCAACTGAACTGCGCTTTTATGTTTCTGGGCAATTGAACATCACCATAGTAGAATTACAGTGTTGTTAACATATGTACTATGATAGGAGTCTCAAATTCTGTCCCAAATCTCAGAAGAAAGTACAGAACAACAACAACAAAAGTAAAAAAAAAAAAAAACAAGGCAGGGGGTAGGGCAAGAAGAGCATATTCATAGTGGACAGAGTTAATTCTCACAGTGCAGTTCTTCACATTAGGACTACAGACAAATACTACTGGCAACTTCCAATGTCAGTTCAAAGGTTGTCCCCAAAACTATACATTTAAGATGCTAAACCTGAGAAACCAGGATAAGAAGTTTCACAGGGAAGGACAGGGAATCTTGGGGGAGCAAAAAATGAGACAGAACTATGAAGTCTTAAAGAGGGCTGCTGGACATCACCTCCATCCCTGCAAGCAAAAGTAATTCAGAGAATTAAAAGACGTCAGGGAAACATCAACATAAACTCAATCTCTGAGGTAAATTCAGGATTGTACATGTTATCTCAAGCCTACTATTGGTCTACTTGCATTAGTACCTGTGTGTTAGAAAAACCCTTCCCAAATCACTTTCTTACAAATGTGAACAGTAGAAATTATGAAAGTACTTTGAGCTGTAAAAAACTGCACAGATTTCACTTTGTAAGACAAGAAAAGAACCCTGGATATTTTCCTTAAATTATGTTATATGGGAATCAGCTAGGATTGTAGAGTAGAGAAAGCAGTGAATGTTAAGATCAATTTGTCAGAACTAGCCAACTTTTCATATAAAGTTTCAGAATATCCCCTACAACAGCCAAAGTGGCACAAGCTAAAACCTATCTGTCCAAGAAGCGTTAAGCCAGTCTTAAGACTGCACAGTGTTAAACAGTTTCCATTTAATAAAGAAAACATGATACTGGATTGTCTCAGTGCAATGGTCTGATTCTGAGAGCCCCCAGGCCTTGTCCCTCTTCTCTGTCCTCATTTCCCCTTCTGAATTCTGCTAGTTGTTTCTATTGTTTCTTAAATCTTATTCTTTCCCATTTTTTATCCTTCTGATAAAAAGGGTCCGCAGTAACCACCTAACTGCCAAAGATCCCAGTCCTGAAAAGTTTTATCCAAAAGAAAGAAACTATGTAGCAGCTAACTCAGTTATTTAAGGGCAGATTAGGGCATCTCCAACAAAGATACAAAGAAAGTAAGCACAACTCTAAAGCAGTTACACTGTTTCTAGAGAAAGCTCATCTCCCAAAGCGCAGAATGACTTCCATACAGAACCTGAACTGACCTCAACAGATCTCACCTGGCATCACGCTGAAGAGGGAAACCTTGCCATTAACTCCCTGTACCTTCTTTGCAGAAGAGGGAACACTGAGAAATGTGGTGAGACATCCCAAGCAATTCTAGAGTCAACACTCACAGACTGACAGCCTGTCTCATTCCACACTGGGCAATCATCCTGATTCCACAGCAAACTAGGAGATGCATGAGCCACACTTAAATGCAAAAGCTTAACATCTTGGGTCCAAAGCTGCACTGAACGCAGCCAGCCCTCCCGGAGCACAGCACTGCAGAGCTGAAGGGACTCCACACTGCCTACCCCACACATACAGCTCAGCGTTGCTGCACTCTGCTCCCCAGCTCTCATGACATCCACTCTTTTCCATTACTTGTCCTATTATATCTAATTTCCTGAGCTATAGAATATACCCATGAGTGGTGTACCTAAGTGCAGAGGTAGCACTGAACATTAGGTAACTATACTAATGAGAGAACCAATGCAATTTCAAACAAACCGCCACCAAACACAAGAAAAATAACATAACTAACCCCTCTTTTTGAACAGTAAGGGGATCGAACTATGCTATTAGGAATGAGACATACTGAAGCCACCTAGACATTGATTTAGCCAGAAAAAAAAAAAAATCTACAAGAAAATAGAAACAAAGAGATACTCTTTTCAGTTTCTACTCATACTTGCATATCTGGAAATGAAAAAATATGGCAGAGCCCCTAAAGCATATACATTTGTGTTTTAAATAAACCCAGCTGAGCATTTCATAATTCCATACAAGATCCACATTCTTTATA